CGATCGATTAAACGATCTTTCATGGTGAACACTTCGTTGATGTCCAATTGCGAACCAGAGTCCCCAGAGTTCGTCCATGTCACGTTGAGGGCAGTGCCACTCGGGTTTCTTGGTGTTGGGTGTCTGTGGTGGAAATAATAGACAAACCTTTGGTATTTTGGGTAGAAAAAAATATCAATCTAATCCAAGGCCTGGAAGTTCTCAGATCCAGCCCTAGAAGTCTTCAAATCTAAGATCTCGAAGACTTTTTCTTTTTTTAAATTGAACAACATATTTTTCCTGTATAATAAAAAAGAGACATACCCATACTTGGCGAAGTTGGTCCACAGGGTGACCATCCTCTTTCGAAATTGATTGAAGGGATCCGTGGGATCGGAAGGTGCGTTCAAATCTTTCACGTTGAATATATAACCGACATCATCCAAGTGAGCAGTACCTGATATGAATCACAATATTTGCATGGAATATCATTCTTAAGCGTCTTGAAAAGTATCTTCTCTGTTAGGTGCACGTACCGTTTAGGGGATTCCCGTTCAGTCCGTGCATGGAGTACTGCGTCTGGTACGATACTCGGTAATAATAAATAGGGTGATTACGGTTGTACTTCGTCATTATTCTTTGCGTTAGGTCGATGGGACTCCAGAAGAAGAAGTCTGTTCCAAGCTATGGAGGGCATACATTTTTCAAAATTTCGAAGAATATCAGATAGGGTGAAGAGATGATGCAGATCTCTCAATAAAAAATAACAATAACCCTTAGAAGAAAATAAGTATACCTTCACTACTTCTGCAATAGTCAAGTTAGCAACTTTGTCCAACAACATCGCAATATGTCCCAAGTTTTCATCGGCAGTGTGTCCATCGTGTTTGATTCTATTCTCTAAAGAATTTACCATCTTTTCGGTCGCGTTTAAAGGGCCAAACGCAGCTGTGGGATGGAAAAAGGGTTAAAGTCGTGACACAGTGCTATCGTACGTGTTTACGATACTTACGGCCCGTGAACAGGAGGACTTCGTCTCGAGTGAACCCCAGCATCATGGAATGTTGATAGAACTTTCCACTGTAATACTTCGACAGAGGACATTCCGTCAGGAACGCGCTGTTATAAGGAGTAATGACAGAATTCTCTGCTGTTGGTCTGAAGGGCAAAAAGTCCTGGAAATGAAGTCACAATTGGAGTAAACAACCATTTAAACAGGTCACAGACACATCAGAAACTGAATCATGTGACTGTGAGCCAACTATTTGAAAAGTATAGAATTGGAGACATTCGTCTGATGTCCTGATAAAGCTGACTATAGCAAACGTCTGACTTAGAAGACTAGACAAACTACCAAACAGATATACAGTCAGCCCTATCAGTACTTTTATTCTCTACGTTTATTTAAGAACGTGCATATGTACACTCACAATAAAAAATGTTTGTTAACATTAAACCTATAATTTAATTAAGATAAAATTTAATACACATAGTGGATACGAATACTTATAGAACTGACTGTATATAGTTATATACTCTGAATCTATATATTAGGGAAGTTAATTAATTGTTTGAAAGTAACTGTACAGTGAACAGTACGAATTATCCCATCATTTAAAAATGGAGGACCCAAACTGATAAACTCGTCGTTTGAAATTAATAAGGAGGTGTATGAGTAATGCTACCAGATCCACTTTCGTCGTTCCTATAACAAGATCCGACACAGGAGCGCGAAGAAAGAAGTTCAGCAAATCGGTTTTGCTCCTTGGCGCGAAGCCAAGAATAGCAGCGAGTTTGTGAGCTTTATTAATGGCTTCTTGGGGTGTGTGGTACGCCCACATACACAGAGGCACCCCGCTCATGCTGATCGATCGGAGGAACAGGCCTGATTAAAAAAATACGTCCAAGTTATTAGTAGATTGCGGATTTTATGCGTTTACGACGCACAATAATATAGAAACATACATAAAATATACGTAATGTATGTTGGATATATTTCACAATTATTATAATATTGTCATTTCATTTTGCATGAGTGCAGATATCTTTTGGTTATGTTTAGCATGTGTCTGTTATATTTGTTTGCATCACAAAATGTAGTTATTGATGCCAGGATCAATTCGATGTGAGAATCGATACCTATCAAATTTTCAAGTGAACTGACAGTCACTTGAAAGGATATTCTAAGAAGGAAACTATTACAAACTTTGACTTCACTCTCTCAAACCACTTTTCAAATTCAAGAGAGAAACCACCCTTAACATCGAAGCCTCTGTTTACTTAGAAAATATATTAAAAAATATTTCAAGTAACAGTTGCATCGTTCCTGGAGGAATGCAAAAGACACTTTCTGTATTCGTAGATTTAAAGAATTGAACATTTGTGCACGCACCTCTAGATTTTTCTGATAAAATGTGAAATCCCACGGAGGTAGCGCCAGCGCTCTCGCCAAAGATCGTCACCTTCCGTGGATCGCCACCGAAGTTGGCAATATTGTTCTGCACCCATCGCAGAACCAGGTTCTGATCCTTCAAACCAGCATTACCAGTTGCTCGTGGATGATCAAGGGACAGGAATCCTGGAAAGTTAGACAATTGCTTCGCAATGGCGCCTCTGACTCTAACATCCAGACTCTGACTCTCAGACTCTGACTTATACACCGAGACTTTGACTATGAATCTGAGATACTGACTATGATTACGAGACTCTGACTTTGACTCTAAGTCTCTGTTGTTAGACAGAAAGAAAAGTTTGATCTAGAGCAGGCTAAAAATCTACGACTAGAGATTCAGTGAACATACCGAGAGCACCTAAGCGATAATTGAAACTGACTAGAACAATGTCCTCTTCTATAAAAAAGTCAGGCCCGTACATCGATGCATTGCTGTATCCAGTCATGTATCCTCCACCGTGGATCCAGACCATAACTGATTTCAAGTTCTGTTGCTCTTCAAACTGCGTCTGTTACGAGTTTAGCCAGCACTTTATTTACATCATATTCTATATCGAATTGCACATACTCGAAATATACAACACTGATTTTTAGAAGAAAAAGAAGAAGTATTTCTCCCTGACACCAAGAATCCAGTATTTTGTATTTTTAACTTAAACAAATATTAAAATACTCAACATTTTCAGTTGTGTAGTTAATATTGGGCGTTAGTATTGCTAGCATAATTATTAATGTTTACCTTGGGAGTGAACACATTCAGGAACAAGCAATCCTCCTTGCCCATTAAGTCACCAGAGATCATGTCCATTTGAGGACACACGCTTCCCTCTTGGAAAGCGTTCAGAGTCTGCTTCCATGCCTTCACTGGCACTGGAGGCTGTAGTTGTTTAAAGTATGCTCGTGAGAACCAAACTGCGTAGAGTATCCCATCTAACCTACTATCTCACCCTATTGGGACACTTTTACCTAAGCTACTAATTTGAGAACATATTCGAACATCCTCACCTTGAATCTGAGACTCCCAGTGGGTGGTTTCGCATATGGAATTCCTTTGAAAGAGGAATACTCAACCTCGTTCCACACGGTACGTGATATCAAACCACGCACTGGTCCACTATTGGTGTACACCACAGGTGTTTGAGGTAAACTTGCGTTCAAACACTGTGTTGACATTAATAACACAAAGATGAACCATGTTTCGCGACTCATTGTTTCACAGGAAAAAGAATTAGTACACTGAAGTATCCTGTAGGTTCTCTTAATCCTTGGAACAGGAGTCTCGAGCGAGATAGAAACTTTCAAAGGAGTTATGTCACAAACAAGTATTAGTAGAATAATAGATGCATTTACCCTAAAGTTTGATTAAAAAATAAGTACACTCTGAATCACTGCAAATTGTTTTAATAATGGCTTACACAAGCGTCAGCCTCGCATGTTTAATTCGTTCTGAATCGAATCCACCTGCCCGAAATCGATTATTGGGTCACCGCGATTCACAACTTGCGAAATTATTTATTGTTTGATCGATTTATTGTCCAATCAGCGAAGTCTCCGAGTGTTGGGTATACTCCACTCGTATTTCGAACGATATCGGCACGTACCAGGAATGTTTATCGTGTAGACGGATTGTTTATATCTGCTTCCGATCGCTAAGTTCCAAATAACAACAGTGTCCGATCGTTGTTGTTATTTACACGAGTATCGATTGCTTTTCGATAATGGAAATATTTTTGTAACGAGTTGTGAAATACTATCAACACAGGTTTTATACAGGCCAGACGTTTCTGAATGGGAAAAAATAATAAGCTCCTTGAACCTTATCGACGAATTAAATAAATTGACGAATTTGATAATGTGTGATGTCATAGGGAAAAATGATATATTTTATATATTATTTCATTTATTTTATTCTTTATTTCTCGTTATCCATTATATTACACATCTACCAAGTGAATAATATTTATCATGTTTATATACATACATTTACTTCAACACCCCAAGAAGTAGAATACAATAGTTCATTTCACATAACCAGATTTACTGTATTAAATTGTTCAAATTAAATTACTTTACTTTTACAAAATTACTAAAAGCTTGTTATGTTAAATAAGTTTCATTTAATTTGAATAGCTTCACACGTTTTCTATCTGAAAAATTACAGAGAGAAATAAACACAAATAAAAGGGTACAGTTTAAATAACAAAGTCTTTCTTCGTTGTTATGTATTTTAATTTCAATATACACGATCTTAGTACAACGTCATGACAATATTCTGTAAAAATAAAGGAGACTGTACACATGTTACTTGCAATACAAATGTAACGAGCGTAGCTTTTTCGAGTAACTAGTGTTCTATTAGAAAGGCGATATTTCACTATCTTGACGACTGTTTCAGTGCACGGCGAGCAAGTGAACTAATGGCGCCACAGGGAAACGTGGCCACCCTCATTGGCGCCTAACTACCTTACAATAGATGCTGGTCTATAATACTGTAGCTAGCACAGCGTCGAAATTCATAACAAAACTAAATTACTCAGAGGTCACAGACAGTACTCGCTAATATTGCGTATTACGAACCGTTATTACTATTGTCATACAGACTGGTATCGTTCGCATCCTTGCAGCCAGTTATGAATGGTAACGCAGCAGCGTATATCCCCTGAAACATTTTACCGTCCTCGTTCATCAAACGATTGTGCATTTCGAATACCTCGTTTCCGATATCTATTTGCAGCCCATTCTCGCCCGATGGTTTCCAGTCTGCCTTGCTTACTTTATTCTCGGAATCAGTAGGATTACTGTGGACAGAAGATAATGTCAGATGTATTGTAACTGAACAATTAATTTTTAGAGTTAATGAATAAGCTATTGGTAGTATTGATACTTTATTATTTAAGATTAAAGAAGATATTTGTCAACACCAGTTTAAATTGAGCAATTGTAAATGCTCCAAGTGATTGACTTCTGCGATAACAGAATTAACAACTACCATTAGAATCAATCTGACTCAACGCCAGGTTCAACGATAACCACCTATCAGTGATTGATATACCTATGTTTCCTCCAATCCTGCTTCACCTAATCAAGAAATCCAGCATCTACTCACCCATATTTGATGAAATGCGTCCACAGAGAAACAAACCTCTTGGAGTACACGTTATAAGGATCGTCTGGGTCAGCGGGGTTCATAAGACCCATGCGGAACAGCAGAGGAAGTTCGTCGGTGTGAGCCGCGCCTAAAATCACCAAAATGGCGTTCGTGAATGCACGGCAAAGGAGAATATTCGAAAAGTACACTTTATACAAAGAATGGGAAAATAATCACCGTCCTGTCGTGGCACTACCATTTTGTGTATATTACGGTTTGTGTTGTAGGAGAATCGGTAGAAGTAAACAGGCTTGTCGCCATTGTGCTTGACCAGCAACCTCTGCGTAAGATCGATTGGCGCTTGGAACAACAGTCCGTTTGCCAACTGAAAACAGGAAAGAAAATGAAGCAATACGAATGGGGGGAATTGAAGTTCATGGAAGACCAGAATTACCTCTATCAACTGTTGTTCGGTACCGTTCGCGCACATATCTATCATCTGAGTGAAAGGCCAAGCCGCGTTCAACGATAACCTATTAATGGCGTGCAATTTGGAGGAGAGCACCTGTCGTAGCACTTCTACCACTGCGTTTACAGAAATCAAAGGAACTCAGAATAAAAATTATGGAATTAAAATGGAAATATGTTTGGTTTACATTAGCCTACAATGATTTATATTTGATTACAAAAAACTGACTGCCTTTGTTACAGTATTCGCTGTATTGGTACAGCGTGGAGCTTATATCAGTTTTGAAAGGGATGCGAGTGTGATTGGTCAGAACACTTAACTCCATCCTTAGTAAATAAATTATATATTGATCGATGTGCTATTTTGAGTCACGAACACGCAACTAAAGCTATAGTAAACTGAACGCTAGAGATCTAGCTATTTATTTCAAAACTATACTTCTGAGCACCAGCTGAGGTGAATGAAACAGGTCAAAACAAAGACATCTACGCTTACCTGGCGCGAATAGAACAGCTTCTTCTTTATTGTAACCCATCAATACGGGAACGCGACTGTAGTTTCCTGATTTCAAGTACGACAGAGGACAATTGGTCAGGAAAGGATTGTCAGAGTTACATTCATACGTTGGAGCCCACGGCAGGATGAGAGGACTCTTTAACAGAAGAATTGACCATATAGCAAAATTACCACCACGCGTATACTTCAATAATTATTATAAAAGAAATACTAATAATTATACCTACCACTGCACCGATGAAGGCCCATTTTCCAGACGCCTTTACGAGCTCTATGGCGTCCATTTTCTGTAATTTCTCTACTAACGCCTTGCCTGTTAAAGAGGGGTATCCCACAAATGCGCCAAACGATTGCGCAACCATCAGAGCATCCATCGGTGATTTGTAACCCCACGGGACCAAGGAGGAACCGCTTTCGGCGATTGCCTGATGGAACAAACCTGGAGTAAAACCAATGAGTGTCGATCAACAATGTCATTTAGATTTAGGAAGTAATCAAACTTCGTTATGTAATTACTTAGCAAAGATACTGTCGATGTTGTTACCTTTCGACATGGGTGACGCCAAGTGGTGCAACACCGAGCAAGCACCAGCGCTTTCACCCATTATGGTCACTCGGTTAGGATCGCCACCGAATTTCTCGATGTTCTTCTGCACCCACTGCATACCCAAATTCTGATCCTTCAGACCTTGATTGCCTGAGGCTTCAGGAATACCGAGTGACATAAATCCTGAGAGGATAAAGAAGAAGAGGTTTAATAAGTCTGAATTGGGAAGCATCTTACGAAATTAGGTTCTGCATACCTAGAGCACCGAGACGGTAGGCTACAGAGACTACGACTATGTCGTCCTCCAGGAACCAGTCAGGCCCGTATACAGCATTTGTACCCATTCCTAGAGCGAATGCACCCCCGTAGATCCAAAATAGGACTGGTTTCAACTTGCCACCGCTGCTGAAGTCGGTCTGTTCAAAATTGGAAGTTTTATCCGATTTTAATTGCGAGTAGGTGTTCGTGACGAATTAATTTTGGGATTAGGTTCACATTTTGGAGATTATTTACAGATCTTTCACAGATGTGAATTAATATTTATTTCAAATGAAAATTACTGAGTACATTGAAAATAAATTTTTTGATTATTTTGTCGATATATCTGCTGTTTAAGAAAATAGGGTTGTATAAAATATGGAATAATCCACTCTGTAAAGTCAATTTTGTATTTCTGTATCGAATAATAGTATTTAACGAGTACAGACTAAACACAATGTACATACTAATGTTATGGTTATTGAGAGATTAGATATAAAGTAATATAAATGTACCTATTTTGAATCCAACTGTAGTTGCCAACGAAAATATGTCGTATACTTACAACAGGAGTGTATACGTTCAGGTACAGGCAGTCTTCCTTTCCGAAAGGTCCAATGATGAAAGATTGTATACAGAAGGGTCCATCCTCTGTAGCATTTACCACGTCGTTCCACGGATCGGGTTCAACGGGATCCTATATTCGTCAAATAAAAAAATAAAGATTTAACAGGATTTTTATGGCAACTTTTGGCTTTCGCAGTTTTTGTATACGAAACTGACGAAACAGATTCTACAAGCCCTCAGGGGCTGTAGCTATGTTCGATTGTAGCTACAGTACGGGTTTAGCAAACCCGAGGTGCCCGAGCTATATGCAGACTAATCAGATTAATCCTTAATGGGAGAATTATAAAGAGAGGTATCTAAGCAAATGCAAATGCAAAGTAATGTAAATCAAGAATGAAACGAATGCAACGAACGAAGAAATGAGAGACTGATACCTCAGGTGTTATGGTCAAGTCATACAACTTCATACCCCTACAAATAAAACTCACTCACTCAGACTACAAAACACACTATAAAATCACACCAATCGAACAACATGTTCTAAACAGCATTTCACAGCTTAAGGAGTCTTACCCTGAATCTCAGGTCGCCTACAGGTGGTTTCGCGAAGGGAACCCCGAGGAAGGCAGAATATTTGACCCTGTTAAACGCAGTCTCCATTTTCCTGCCTTGAATGGGACCCTTATCGGTCTGCACGACACTCGTCAATTCTAGACATAGTGTCCCCGTCACGAGGAAAACGACGGCGAAGAAGAAGGTTCTCCTCATCTCTGCACCAAGTTGAATATTGAAGACGTGGCACGTATGGCGCAGTTGGTATAAGTAATTTCAACGTAAATGGTGAACAATTTCGATTTTATATAGCGTGCTGTCGCAGCAGATGCGACACACTGTGTGATCAAACTTTATTTGGAAGGAATATTTTTTCACGGATCGGTTATTAGTTAGTTGATGAATTGTGAATTATTCCCTGTCATCGAATGGACGTACTTTATTACGTTTTCGCGTAAATCATTTGGGGCGAGAATGAGTTGATTTATTGGTGTGTTTGATACACGTTTGCTGACATAATTGTCCACGTGTGTTGTTTCGTGTGACATTCTTCATCGACGCTGTTATACCATTGTGTTATTTGAGTATGTTGATAATATTTATCCAGAACTACTTTAAGGCTGTCGGATGCAGCTGTTTTTCAAATACATGTGGCTTTCCGTGTTAATAGGATACGTATCTTGGTGATGGTTGACGAACATTTTTGAATAACCGCTTCTACGCTTGTTGACTTTGTAGATCTAGGTCATTTCAAAGTCATATTGATGTGTGGTCTGAATCAATATTTATAATAGATACGACGTGCAGGGAAAATTTATATTCTGGAAAATTTCCAGACAGAAAATTTATTTGGTAGAAACTATAAACTTTTTATACATGCAAGGCTATTTAGATTGGGTGAATATAAAATACATATTTGTTTAATTTTTATTTCGTGTTTATTCTCAGTTTTTCATATATTACAAAATATTCGATTGTATTTTAATTTCGAGATTTAGCTTTAAATTATTGGATATATTAATTGCTTGGATTTACTTGTTCAACCACCTTTTTTAAAAAGTACTTCTTTTAAGATTTTATTGTATTATATACAACCCTATCATTTGAGGAGCCCTGTTTGTGTTCCAGAGCATACTTAAAATACACATAAGTAAACGCACATTTCTTTAGATATTCAATTACATATGAGGTGGAAATTCAAGTCTTCAGCTTAATTTTAATCTAGATTTTTTATTAGATGACATTCTCAATCATAGGAAACGAAACAGAAATATATATAAGAATTTGAATTACATCAAAACTATATTACAGTTTGCTCTATAATACTGTCGCTAGTATAACGTCAAGTTCTTGATGAAGACGGTTACAATGTCGATGAAGCGACGAAACAGTCATGGAGTGACTATTTATTATAAGTAGACCTCTGTTGATTCTGCGATTGGAACCATTGGTTGAACCGTTCATTCTTCTTTTCGTATTCTTGTTTCTTTTCGTATTCATTCTTCTTGTCGTATTCTTGCTTCTTTTCGTATTCTCGCATCTTTTCGAATTCATGTTTCTTTTCAGTTGGCGCTTCATGTTTCTTTTCAGTTGGCGCTTCATGTTTCTTTTCAGTTGGTGCTTCATGTTTCTTTTCAGTTGG